CATGAAATTTCATGAAAGTTCATGAAATTTGATGAAAGTTCATGAAATTTCATGAAACCATGAAGTCTTCTTACAGTTTCCCTGAAGCTTCATGAAACCATGAAGCTTCACCCGCCCGCCAGTCCAAACAACCCTGCGTCCAGGGAACTCCACAACATCGTAGCAAATCCCAGCGCCAATATTGAAGCACAGCCTGAGCTGTTTTGTTCCTTACCGGTGAAAACAGGTGCCCCGTGAACTTTCGTGAAATTCCGTGAAGCGACTATGATAGTTCGACCTTAAGCGCATGAAAACGTGAAGAACCGTGAAGCTCCAAAAACCAGGATTGGTCGGAGATGCTTCTCGTTTGCATTCATTTGGGATCTTGTTTAAGAGCAAGAAGATAGACTTTCTTCATGCAGTTTCACATGTAGCCTGATCAGTTTAAGCTACTTGTCATTCTGAGGGCGCCTGGGGACGAATATATAACACCGGAAAAGACTACGTTGAAGCGGTGCGTTGTCAAGACGCCACCCAGCAAAGCATGTATGGGCAATGCACCAGCAGCAGAGTCTGAGGATGCACTAAAGGAAAGGGCAAAGCTTCTTTACGTGGCATGGAAGAAAAAGGGGCAAGGTAAAGGTGCTGCAGCTGCGTCTCCAGCCTTACAGGATGGAGAAGAAGGAAGGGGCCGACCGTTGCACAGACTCCGGCCTATGCCAAGTGCAGATCTACCCAAGTCTGAGGGGCAGACGAGCGAAGGTCGGGAGGCTACCGAGAACGACAAGCAGGGAAAGGGGCGGGGTGATGCAGGCAGCAAGGGGGATGTTCATGAGGAGCTGGCCCCAAAGAACAAGAGGTCACGTGAAAAAGGTGGGGTAGAGGTTGACGAGGAAAATGGGAGCGGCCAGAACAAGAAGAAGAAGGAGAATAAGGAAGAGGTAGAGGTTGAGGAAAATGGGAGCAGCCAGAAAAAGAAGAAGAAGGAGAATGAGGAAGAGGTAGAGGTCGAGGAAAATGGGAGCAGCCAGAAAAAGAAGAAGAAGGAGAATAAGGAAGAGGTAGAGGTCGAGGAAAATGGGAGCGGCCAGAAAAAGAAGAAGGAGAAGAAGAAAGAGACAAAGAAGCCAGTTGAGGAGGTTGAGGAAGAAGAGGGCCATCAGAAGAAGAAGAAGACAATCAAAGAGGATGGCGGACAAGATCCAGAGCAGAAGAAGAAGAAGAAGAAGACAAGACAGGTAGAGGCAGAGGTTGAGGAGAACAACCAAAAGAAAAAGACTGGCAAACAGGTTGAGGTAGAGGGTGATGGGAACAGCAAGAAGAAGAAGCGGAAGGTAGAGGAGGTGGGCGAGGAAGAGGAACCAGCAGAGGTGAGGAGGAAACTAAAATCTGAAGTGTTGAAGGAGCGGGCGTTTGTTCAACTAACGCTCTATGACATGCCAGCGGTGCAATTCCATCCTAGAAGGTACCCGCAGCCCACCGTGATGTTTTTCGTGAAAAAGAAGAGACAACAAAAGCTCACTAAAATGTGGGCGATTCATGTTAAGAAACGGCTGGCCAAAGAAGAGGAGCCAGAAGACAAAAGAACCGATCCTGCTGGTGTGGCCCCTAGTAGGTAATTTTAGCGCTTCTTGTTTTCGTCTGCCACATCCCTAGCCCCTAGGCAAAGCCACTCTCCGTCGATCAGATACATCAGCGACAGTGGACAAGGTGCCTCCATTGTGTCTATGATTATTGGTTCAAACCCTTTTTGCGCTCATGTTGGGAAGTACTGGTGTCCACCCAAGTCTCTTTAAGGAAGTGCCCTTTTTCTGTCCCATGTCGTATAAAAAACACTTCAAAAAAGGGCACTTGGATTTAGTCTCCAGGAGGGCGGTGTGGGCTCTGTGGGTTCGCAGCTCAAGGGACTCACGGTCCGTGATGGCAAAGGCATTCTCCGCAGAGCCTGCTGCCCAGATATAGGATGGTGGATACATACCTTGGATAAGTTGACTTGGGATGCTCAGGTCAAGGTGCTGTCGCCAGAAATGAAGGAGAAAATCAAACAATTGTCATCTCCGTCTCAAGTGAGTTTGGAGGACACCTCATGTTATGGCTGATAGTACCTTTGATGTTTTCTTTCGATCTCAAAGGTATCAATGTTTTTCGGCCCAGGACAGAAAGGTGTTGTATGGGGCGATGGACAGAAAATACAAACAGAAAGGCACGGTTGTTTGAGATGGGGCTCATGTTTTGGCACTGATGCCTGTACTTGAGGAATGCCTCCCAAGTTGCTTGCGAAGTTCCAAGAAGCCAGCGGGAACAACTCCAAGAAGCCCCTGGGCCGAGCAAGCGTTCTTAACCAATCACTTTTCAAGACAACCACTCAGCGGTTTCGATTGTCCTAATTGGCTCAGTTGCCCAGGTGGGAACTGTTGAAAGAATTTCTGATCTCTGATGAACTGCTTCTCTCATGCATTTAGTGCTGATTGGTTCCACCGCTCACGTTCACGCATAGTTTTCCCATAAATGCTCCCGTGCCCAGGCGGAATGTGGAGTTGGAAGTTTCTGTGTCGCAGCTCCTTGGCCGCTACACTGTGAAAATGAGAAACACAGGGGTGGAAGTCCGAACTCATTTATGTTTGCAGGAGCCAAAAGACAAAGGACCGGGATGTCTACGTCGAAGTTCCCTGGGTGGACCTGGAATTGAAATATGGCAACACGGACAGTGGCAGGTGGGTTGGACTAGGGATGCTAGGTGCGGCCATACCAATCCCTATATTGGCTGTGAAGGCAATTCCTGAACAGCATCAAAGCTTCGCAGAAGGGAAACCCCACCCACGGAAAGAGGTCTGCATCTCAAACTATTTTTAATCTTGATGAATGTTCTCAGACATTTCCCTGGCCTTGCTAAGTACCGCAAGATGGACTCTATGAGATTGTACAAGGTCTTCAAGCATACGCAACAAATGAGTTCCATGGTTGCATGTTTGCGCACTGTGTTTGGGCCTCCTCTCCATCTTTGCATTGACCCAGTTGTTCTTGTCGGTGACCAACTCCACCTCACGCCCAGGCGGAACGGAGAACGTGGCGTCAACCAAAGTGACATCCACCGGCTATGTGCGTGGTGAGGACCAGGATGCAGATGAGGGGATGAAGAAGTCTGTGGCGGCACTTTGCGATCAAATGCAGCCACTTCTTCATCCCAAGGGTGACACATCTAATAAGAGGAAGCGTGGTCGTGATCGCAGTTCTGGTTCTGAAGGTGGCAAGAACCGGAACAACGAGAACAACAATGATGACAACAAGAAGGCTAGTGGTTTTGTTTCAGTACATGTGTTCCTTTATAGTGTTGACAGTGCCCCAAAAAGGATCCCGACTTGGAAGCCAAGCGTGACCTGCAGAAGAAACTTCGTGGGTCTTTCCCTCAAAAAGTCTTTGAATCCGTGCGACTTCATCGTATGGGTTTTGTGGTGGGGTGTGATGTCTAAGGCTGCGGTCGCTGGCCAGCAAAGCCAGGTCTGCTGGCTATGACTTGCACGTTCACGGTGGAACCGAGGACGGCTTTTCATGAACGATATTGCAACATGCGCCGTGCGCTTTTGCAGCAGGCCTTGAAGGCAGCATGCGCGGAGAAGCACAAGACCTTGAACAAGCTTGCGGATACGTCCGGTGCCTACATGCGACTTTGCAAGTCTCTATGTAGTCTTTAAGTTAGATATTGTCAATGCCATGTCATCGACTTTTCAGGCTTGAGACTGACTACGCAAATGGCAAACCCATTGAGAAAGTCCTCACCAAGTACAACAACAAGTTGTCTGTGATGGAGGATTGCAATGTTTGTTGTTGGCCGCCTATAGCATAGGCCAATATATTAGCCAGGCAACCGTTGGAGCTCCATGAACAGTGACTGCAGGAGGCAGAAGATGCGGTCGACGAGGCCAAGGCATGTGTCCGCAGCAAAAAAGCCCGTAGGGGACCCAATCCTCAGCTGCACTCTATGTGGGCGCTGAATTCTTCGCATCTCTTAGGCGACAAGAAGAAGGAAAAGAAGCGCACTAAAGAATGGGAGGATTGGTGTGAAGACCAGGCTGCCAACATTTGTGTTCCTACAGTGTTTCAACTACATGCCCCCGCAGGCTGCAGCCTATGAGTCAGAACAGAACAAGTGAAGAGCCGTCTTTCAGGGCAAGCTTTTTGGGGTTTAGGATAGATCACGCGCATTAGCTGCAGTGCTGAATGGCCTGCGCTGCAGGTTGCACGTGTATCTCTATCTGTGAAGCCGTTGGGGTTTGAGAAACACTTGTGAGTTGCCTATGGCAGAAAATCACAGAGTTCAATCTTTCTCCTTTGTTTTGCGTGCAGCGTTGTCAACCCAACCCACTTCCAGAGAAACTCACTGATCGCTTCAACTCGCCAGGTCGCTCGACGTGGCATCCACAAGTTGGTCCAGACCTTCATAGATCTCGTCCTGAAGGGAGAGGCCAATCAATTCTTTTTTGGTGTTGCCTTCAAATCACCCATCCGCAGGGATCTATACGGGCCCTGTCCGATATCCTCCAAGCTCTATTGGAAATCCCAGAATATTTAGTTCCGTCTTGGGCTCAGATGGAGTGTGGAATGTCTTTATCGAAACGTGTCTTCTGGTGGGACCCTAGGAGCAAGATCTGGGATTTGGCAAATTCATTTGAGTCCTGCCGCGGATGGGCCCTTGAGCGCCAACTCCAGAGATGGATGTCCAAGCAAAGCTTCATGAACTGCTTTCCTCCGCCGCATACGTGGGCGACCCAACTCGTTTGAGGTGTTCATAAAATGATCTCATTCACTTTCATGGGTTGATTTTCCGGTCGGTCGAACTCCAAATAAGGTTCACAGTCCCAAGAGTTCCTGAGCTACCAAAAGATGTTTGATGCGTTGGCATTTGATGTGCTTTAGGGGGTTGTATCTAGAACCGCATGTGTCTAAGGAAGGCGCTATTCCTGGCTATGGGTTGCAGGAAGTCAAAATAGCAATGTATTTGCCGCGTGAGCTAATGGCATCTTTTTACCATTATGGATCTGGGGAGCTGTTCTACTATCACATGGCAGGTCTGCCTTCTGACGCTGGGCTATTGATGGCCAATTAGATTGAAGAGTATCGATCATGTACCTGTCGGGCGGTGTTGGGAGCGCAACTGTATGAGGACTTGGAATCCTATTGGTCTCACAATGAGGACCTCGCCCAAACATTATGGGGGCCGGAGGTGGGTCTCTGAACGATTCGAGTTTCCAAGAAACGAAATTGTTATTTCTTGCTTAGTGCAATTGTTTTCACAAAAGGCGTTTGCCATGGGCCCAGGCCTTAGGGAAGCCTTTGCGGGCAGTTCCATTCCGCATCTATGGGGACTCTGCAGAAGCCCAAAGTCCTTCTGCTGCACGTAGGTTTTGCTGCAAAAAAACGGTGGAAGTGCGACAAGAAACCTGAACACTGCCACCAGGCTTACAGAATTTTGAGCTCTTCACTTTGATTGCTCCAAATAGTGTGCCGTCCTGTTCCACAAGGTTTGTGTATCTTGCTTGCAGAAAGCCAAGTGGCGCAGGGCAGCGCTGAATCGCAAAAGCAAAATGTAAAGCAGCAAAGCCTAGGCTGTGCGTGAGATCCACTGTGCACACATCAAAAAAATGTGGAGAATTGATCTTGGAGTGGATATGTTGGAGCCTGTCGGCAATGTGCACCAAGACTGCATAAATTCATGAAGATGGTGTGCAGTGCGTTTGCTTTGAATCTCCCAAATGTAAGGTGAGGGCTTGTGGCCAACGTTCGACCCGTGGAACGAACCGTTTTCCACATCCTACTTTCCCCGCTTCCATGAGAGAGGAGGTCAGCCCCTATGCGACGGTTGGGTTGGCGTTTTGGACGGTGTGCAGGCCGATCAGGACTGGCTAGCAAAGGTATTTCGTCTCAAGAGAACCTTCTCTCAAATGGGCGTTGATTGAGTTCTGTTGGTTTCAATGTTAACCACACCTACAGTTTGATTGAAAAGCGGATCGCTCTCCACATCTAGGATCGTACCGGAGCCGGCAAGTTTGCCACTACTGCCCAGCCGTTCGCTCCCTGCAGCCTGAAGACCACCCAGATCTTCTCTACACCAGCTTTGGGATAGAAGCCATCCATAGAAACCAGTGCCATGGCCGGGCGTTCAAGTCGAAGTGAACAGTTCTAGCAAAAACATGTTGTTTCGAAAGTCTTGTTAAGGATGGTGGAGACTGCTGAAGATTGGGAGGCCATCCATGGAAAATCTCCCATCACAAGTGTGCCAGGCTTCTCACCCCTTCGTGCCTCAGCTAGATTTCCCAATCTCACAGTTCACTCTTCTCTTAATCTAAAATCCGCCAACTGAGGGGTCTATCCAGATTTGTTGCACGTGGCAGACTTACAAGTTCTGCCAGATTGCATCTGGTCTTCGCTGTGTGATCTAACGGATCATAGCGCCGGCAGCCGTGACCATGCCCTTCAAGTTTTGTGGGAAGACTATGCAAAGTGGTGTTCGGATTGTCGTACCTCCTTTAAAATGAACATGTTTTGTTTTGGTCTCAGAAGATTCCCCGTGATGTGTTTTTGGAAAGAGGGAAGGGTGGGGTGGTAACTGAACTGCTGTGGGTAGTCTGTTTGGAAAAAAGATCACAACTCACCAGAACATGGTTCCAAGGCATCCCTCATGGAGCTCGAGCAAACAGAAAACTGTTCTTGGCCAAGTACGTCATGCCGAGCAGTACCGAATATACCCACGTCTCCCAGAAATTCCTTAAAAGGCATAGCCTCACGGCTGATGATCTATTGGATGTGCATCAAGACTGTTGAAGCTGCAAGTGAGCCAAATGCTGGCCAGGCATGCAAGTGCTCTGGCTAAAACTGCTCATTGGGAATAAAAATCACCAAAATGTCCTTTTCAATGTTCACTGTGTTTTTTTTTACGAAAAGTAAGGCACCGAGCAAACATCTATCTAGCCCTGACCTCGATATATACATTGCTCGCAGAAAATGGGAGCCTGGGCTTCGAAACCTTTTCCCATATCGGGCAAAATTGTTGCCACGCGCCCTTTAGTGCTGAGGAAATACATGGATGACATAGCCTTGCATTTGGAGGTCCGTGAATCCTATTGTATCTTCAGGCGATCTTACAATTGCCACTTGACCCCATCAACGATTGTGGAAAAGCAAGCGGAAAGTGTGTGGTTGAACAAAACTGACCTTTCACCTTCAAAGTTCTTAGTGCATCTAAGTCCTTGCGAGCAAAAGCCTCGAAGAGGGAGTCCTCCGGTGGCCCCTTTACCCCAAGCAGCATCAACTGGAGCATTTGCAGCTGGTCTTGAAATAATTATGTCACTAGTGTTTTGTGAGTGTTGTAAACCAATCATGCTATAGGCTCCTAGATTGGCTTCCTCGAGCTGGCAACCCCCGGCACTACCAGTGTGTGCTGGATGAATCGTTGATAGGCCTGATCAAGACCCTCGAAGGCATGTGCAGTGCTGCGCTGTGAATTTTAGCTACTGGGTTTATGGAATCTGGGCCCCCACTAAGGAAGATCGTGTGCCATACTCATCCGGCTACGATGAGCGTTTCTGTCTTGTCTCACTACAGCTTGGCAATGGCCTTGGCTTGGATTGGGCACGACAGCCTTTTCCAGTAAAAAAACCTTGCTTGCCAAGGGGGGCAGCGAATGACAAAGATTGACCATATGACTCAACCCGTTTTTTGGAAGCGACCGTGCCATGGAACACGTTTTTTCCGAATTGAAAGGTTTCAGCGATGGGTTTGGGGTTACTTTTACAGTTGGGCACGATGAAAAATTCTTTGTAACTAGGATCGGCTCAAGCTTATGGTGTGCAGAGGTGCAAGCATTGCGCCTGCCACGAAATCTTTTCCAACTTGTACCGTGTTGTGAGTGCATTTGCACGACTGTCACTGATTCCTGACAAGAGGAGGGCCCAAACCATTGTTAGGCTATAAGGCCGCGCGTGCCATAGGCTAACCATACGGTCGCTTAACCTCTGTTGGTAGATTGTGGAAAGCTGTGGCGAAGGAAATCACTCGGAACAGGTGTCTACCAGCCAGAGCACCCGTGGGAGGTGAGAGAACGGCTTCTTGTGCACCAGCCAGAGGACCTGTGGCCAGAGGACCCGTGGGAGGTGAGAGAACGGAGTCTTGTGTACCAGCCAGAGGACCCGTGGGAGGTGAGAGAACGGCTTTTTCGATGCTTCCGAGGCGTTTCCG